AAAAAAAAAAGGCTGAAATTATACTTGGAAAAATCAGTGTTTGCAGAGAAGTTGTTTCTTTCTGCAGAGCCAAAGACAAAGTTGAGACCTTGGCCCAAACATCCATCTGTGCAAGCCCTTCTTAGACAAATAGGTGATTCAAATATATAAATAACTGCCTTATGTGCTGCCAGCCCATTACAAATGCACATTACCCTTGACTACTGTTTTTTTTTTTCATGCAAGATAGAAATGAGAGACAGTTTGCAACAGATGATGTGACAGCAGGCTGTAGTAGGAGGTCACTGTGATGGAAACTTGTTGCAAAAAACAGACATTAAGTCCAAGTAATGGCCATATGATACAATTTATCATCTTCATACACATCAGTTTATCCAATGTTTGTCCACATGACCAGGGCCAGATTAACACTTTGCTGTACCCTAGGCAACAATCTTCAAGGGCCCCATCATCACGAGCCCAGAATCACCATAATATGGCAAAATACAGAATAAATTACCATAATATACAGTAAATATACTTAAAATTCTAACTATCAATTGTATTTTTATGTATAAAACTCCAAATGCTCATAGAACTATAAATGCTACTATGTCCTCTTGTTGACGCAAATCATCAAGACAGAATTAAATTGAACGCACTTTGAACACCGTATGACACAATGTGTACTTGTTAGTAACATTTTGGCCATTTATGCATTTATGTGTGTGTGTGTGTGGAGGGGACACACTGATGGTGGTGGTGGGGGGGGGGGGGTCTGGGGGTCCTCCCCCAGAAAATTTTCACACTTTTCTTTCTTGTTGTACACTTTAAATCACACTTTTTTGCATAATTTACATGTCCGGTGAATTATATGCCAAAGCGACATATTTATGGATTTTTTCCCCATATTTATAAACCATTTTTTGACTGAGATAAGACTGTTTTCATTCATTCTGACTGAAAAAAGAGCAGTACCACTTTCAGTCACTTTTGGGCAGCAGAGTAGTAGTAGCTCTACGGCATGCAGTTGTATCATGTAATAGGTAAACGTGGCTATAATGACAAATTGAAAAAAGTTCAAGACACAAACAACTGGACTTTATTATACTTTGTTTTTTTTTCTTGAACTTCTTTGAATTTACCATGTCGTGGATGACTGAGAATCTTCACCAGCTATTAATGACTCAGTCAGCCTGCCATAATCTCCCCACCTTCATTCTGCTTGCTGCTTGGAACGTCAAACCAGCTGCAGCGCCCTAGTGAAATGCAGCGAATTTGACCATTAAAGTGCATTTACTGAGAAAATTTCGAGCAAACAAATAATTGTTTAGGTGCTTTTCTTGTTAAATTTTGGAGAAAAAAGCCGCGTTCCTCCTTTTTTTTCTGCCTCTGCTTGTTCACGGAGCAACGAGGCAGCGAAACCATTTTTGAAATGCAGCTGATTTGACCATTAAAGTGCATTTATTACGTAAAAGTTCAACTGAGACACACCTTTGCTAATATTTCAAGCAAACAAATAATTGTTTTTAAGTGTTAATTTTATTAAAGTCCTCCTGTGCACGCTCCTACGGCCGCCATTTGGCAGCCCATTGATTTTTGGCACAACACTGGCCCACATTTCCAGGTTGTCAGCGGTGACGCGTAACAAATGCGACGCGTCAGCGGTTTCACATAATAGATGTGACGTATACGGCGAAGCGACATACTGTATTTATGGGTTTTTCCACTTTATTAGATAAATATGAACTGATGCAACTTATAGGGCGGTGCAACGTGTACGGAGGAAAATCAGTAATCCTTACTGCTTGATCAAGTCTACTCATTCAACTACTTCATCAGACTATTTTTTATCCAAATTCTTATTCTTTGTTATTATTGTTCATATATTTTTGATCAATTATTTATTTAATATGGACTTGCGACCTGTCCAGGGTGTCCCCGCCTCTTACACAGTGATTGCTGGACATGGGCACCAGTGAGCCCCGTGACTCAAAATGGAAGAAGCGGGTAAAAGATAATGGATGAATGGAAGGTATAGAAATTCCCGGTAATTAATGGATTATACTTCAGTGACCGAGTTCTGATAATTAAAGGGTGAATACGCTTATTAATCTGTTGCTGGTCAGTAATCCGACCTGCTTGTGCCCAATACAAGTAAATAAGTTAAAGAGTGGAGAAAATCATCATCCTTATTTTCCACTCACTCTCACTACACCCATAAACAATTTGGAATTTAATCCAAAAAGTGTATTTGGAAAAATAAGCACATTTTCAAGGTGATGATCCCATTTGCCAAAGGAAAGGAAGCCTGTAAATCCCATTACCGTGAGGTTTCGCAAACATCCTTTAGTCTATCAACAGCATCGCAATAATTTCCAGCACCGGCATTTCCTTTTCATAGCAATTCTTATGCTGAGGCCAGATGTGGCCGAGGTGATCACAAATTGAATTTTCAGATTAAATGTGTTATGCATTATGTCTGGAGATGCAGTTCGGAAAATGTGATGGGCTAGAAAAGTCAAATTAGGAAAGAGTTGGATTAGTTTAAAATGTGCAAAAAAAATAAAAAGCTAAATTAATGTTTCTTGTACAGAAGAAGATTTTTTTTAATTTAGAGACTTTTGTTTAGGTATATTAAAATCTCGGAGTCCAACTGAATCTCTATAAATACACACGAGTAGCAATAACAAAGTATAAATATCGCTCTTCTACTGGCTGGACATAAGTGTAATAAAACGAGAAAAACACAAACTCTGAAAAATCATTTTACTTAAACACAACAAACATCCCCATAGAATCAATAATTCCTTCTGAAATGTTTGTTGACGTAACAAATAGTAAAATAAACATTTAAACATTTGAGGATAAACCGCCTTTCCACTTCTAACCTTACGAGCTGCGTTTTCACCTGAAGGCCATAGTCCTGATGATTGATCAGCTATGTCTCACCATCATAGTCGTAATAGCCATTACAAGTTATTTACAAGAGAGACCTTTTTTTAACAAATAACAGAAGAAGTACAAACAATAATAGACAATCATATAAAAAAAGAATATAAAATAAAAAGTAAATGGAAGATATTAAATGATAAACAAAATAAAAACAGTAAAAACTAGACAAAAGCAGCTACATTATGGAGCGGTGTAAAATACTGAAAACAGGAACATGTCTGCGTTGGTTTTTCAGAATCAGAATAAGCTTTATTATCATTGTATCAGGATACAGTAAAATTATGTTTGTACAGTCTGAAAGATGGGTGGAGTGCACGTTGCTGCTGCCATCATAGCGCGGCCCCTTATTCTTTATCAGAATACTTTTAGATAGAAAAGGGGGATAGTGGTATTAAAAAAAAAAGTTACAAAAAATGTTGCTATGAACTTAGCTGTAGTTTAAAGTCCCTTAGAGAGGTCAAGGTCGAGAGCTTCAGGTTTTTTGCAAGGTGCTCCAGGTTACAGGGGCGGAGTACAGTGTTGCCAGGTGTACGATAATTATCGTATTTGTACGACAATTTTGCCCTCTATACAATGTACGATCAATAATCCCAAAAAAGGCCAAATATATGATAATTTGACCATTCCGTGAATGTGTGGTTGTAATCGGTTGTCATCAGCCTGTCGCAACTGTCTGTCTGAGTTTTTTTGTGAACCCTGAAGGCATCTCTGTTCGCAAACAGATGCACGATTGGCTGGAAATTCCAGCCAATCGTGCTTTTCTAAATGTTACCTACGAGTGACGTGTTTGCGTTTGCCTCAGAACAACAGCCATGATTGGATGAATAGTCCGCTGCGCCCGCCCCATGAGTGAAGAAAAGAAACAAAGAAAAGAAGAAGAAGCAGAGCCGGTCTGGAAGCGGACCCATCACTACTATAGTGCATTAATAGATTTGTTATTTTGGTTATGACGGGTGTACAATAATTTCCTTCAAAATACGATAATTCTATGTCTCTAGTACGATAATCCTACATTTCTCACCTGGCAACACTGGCAAAATAAGAAAAAGGCCCTTTTGCTAAGTTTAGTCCGCACTGAAGGTACACTGCAAGTAACGATGTCCTGAGAGCACATGCTGTAGCTGCATTCATGGTGACATGCAGGTGGAGATACATGAAGACCAAGAACAACGACCAGCAACAGACCAAGAAGTGATTGAAAGATGAAAATGTACCAGTGAGAGTCTGCATGAAGTTAATGATGACCAGTTAACCAGTGAATACAGAGTGCACGGTAGTTACAGCCAGTTATGAATCTTAGCGCACTGTGGTAAACACCATGCATGGTGGTACAATGCACTGAAAGCAGGGCTTAATTTGTAACCCGGCTGATGCCGGAACACAAATAGCAGGCTGTTCGGCCGGGGTCTGTGGGTCCTCCCCCAGAAAATTTGGAATATAAGAGATGCCATTTCCTGCATTTTGGTGCATTACAACCAATTGATAAACTTCTGTAAACGTTTGATTAAATTGATTAAAAACAGGTATCTCTTGAGTCCTCGAGGCTCAATGACACTAACAACCTGTATAAATTAAGGTTGAATTGAAATGACCATTTTAGAGAGCAACAACAAGAAGCTGAGCAGCTCCAATTCTGTCAAGCGTCCTAACCCCCCTCACACAAATACACACACACACTTCACTGTCCGACCCAAATTCTTCTCAGCTGAATTCAGTCCTGCACCAGCTGGTTATTGTTCCTCCTGCTCCAGTCTCGATTGCCACTGCCTTCAGGTGCTTCAATTCTCTGTTGCCCTGCTAAAGACAATCCATCCATCCATTTACTGAAAATAAACTGGACGATCTTTTCAACATTTTGATCGGTTATTTTGACAAATTAGTGCCGTTGTTTTGAAATGTGATGCAATGTGAATAATACTCAAACATTTCTCTCGTTGTATTTTTATGTTTTTTTTTTTACTGTAAGCTTTTTTATTTATGTCTGAAATGTATGCAGGAGTTTCGACACATCAGCAGTTGTGCGAGCTCTGTAGCTGTCTGGAGATGCTCCTGTGCACAAAACGTACACTGAACGCACAGCTGAAGCTGGATGAAAACGTGGGACGTGCGATCCACGTCTCTGCTGGGCAGGAGCATGTGCGTGAGCTGGTGCACGTAGTGTGGCCGGAACATTCACTCCACAGACTGGGCAACGTCTCCTCTCGTATTTTGAATAAATATAATCAAAATAAAAATGCGTGATGACTTTGGACTTTTAGGGGCGGAGATTTGAGTTGCCGGATCCGAGCAAACAGTTACCGGAACATAGTTGGTCAGAATGAGAGTTCCAGCAGTATCCAGCTCAAATTAACCCCTGACTGTAAGTATGGCTAATCTGGTACCACGGTTGCCAATTAATTCTGTTAAACTTTTCCCAGGGTTCCACATGACTTTTACCTAGGATTTTTAAATCCTAAAATGAGAGGGAATTAAAAAACTTTTATTTTTTTGACTCACCTTTAAGCAAAGTGAATGTGAGGATTTGTGTTTTCGAGTGTGTGCTCCTGATCGTCTTTCCTCCAGGTGTTTGTCGTTGTCTGTCGTTAACGTGTGTATACAAGTCTGCGTCTCTGTTCCTCATTGTCTGGGCATTGTTCTGGAATGGCCTCCTGTTCCTGTCTCCACGTTCGTTATCTAAGTTTTACTGCCATGTCAACTTTTGTATTCAATTATTAAATATTTCTTATTTTACCTTTGCGAGTTTCCCCGTGTCTGCCTGCCTGCCTGCATTTGGGTTCTACCATCACCAGCTCCCGACAGAGATATTGAAAATAGTATTCCTATATTATTTACATTTTTATTTTTGGAATGCTTGCATTTGATTTTGACTGCAACTGAAAATGGAAATCATTGATGTGGCATATTATTTGTCCTGAAATGTAATTTAATGCATATTTTTAATTATTTGCCAAACTTGGGATGTGAATCTACCAAAAAGTTCTATTAGACCAAAACGATAGTGTACATTTGAAAAGAGAATGGAATGGAAAAACTGATAAGCCCTGCTGCAATGTAATTTTATTATTAACTGTGACCTGCACACTTGGATGATTCCACTATGTTTTGTGCTGTGATGAATTAGTTCTGACTGCAGTAATCTGGATCTGTCCATCAGAGATGTTTCTGCTCAAAAATAACAAACATCTACTAAGTCTTTATATTACAATAAGTCACGTCAGTTATAAGTCACCTGTACAATAAAAATATCCCTTTTTTTAAATACAAATTGTACATTGTGTGTTTGAGAGTATGCATAAGCAAGAAAAGGTTTCAGACACGAGCTCGCTTTCAGTGCTAAAGAGAGCAATGTGTTGTTGGTAACCATGGAGACCGTATTCAGGGTAGATGTCATCACGTGGGGCTTTGACAAATTCTTCCACGTAAGCGCTAAAACCAAACAAAATATTTATTATTTATTTATTTATTTATTATAAAGGCGCCTGGAGTTTGCTGATTTTAGTGAAGTGAAATTATAATACACTGCAACTGTGCGTTGAGATTTGAAGCTGCCACTAGAGGGGGCTATATCTACAGAATGAGACCCACATCTTCATGAGCAGTTTTATCCTACTGTATTATTGCATCACATTCAACACCACAGAACACCCTATAATTAATTATTACATAACTTGGATTGGATTTGATTTCCAGAAGAATGTGGGAAATAAAGTAGTGCACAGTTTGACACAAAGGTCTAAAGCTGATGTCAAGGTGGTCCTGATGAGTTAAAAAAAAAAAAAAGCCCAGAAATAGGAATATTTTTCACCTCATCAGAGCAGGAGCATCAAAATCAGTTATCATAAGTTATCAAATCCTTTCAATTTGATCTGTGTAAAAACGGTAACAAGTACAACTTACCTATCGGATGATCCCTGGATGCTTTTCTAAACCAGACTGTGGAAGTAGAGGGTGAACAAGAAAAAGCCCATAGAGCACCGGTCCTGCAAAACAAGTTGTTACTTGGGAAATCATTTTCTGCTAAATCCGTCACTCTGAGATGCACAGGTCCAAAACATGTTAAAAACAAAAACAGCTGGATTTCGATTCTGAAGCTGAAGACGTTTCGTTTCCCATCCGAGAGGCTTTACCAGTTCAAAACCGTCTGTGGAGTGTGTGGAGCTCCAAGCTTTATAATCATCAGGCCTAATGCGCTGTAAGTTTTTCAAAGTTGAGACCTCCTCTGTTTAAAGTTTCTTGTTTGTCTTAACTAACCGGATCTGTCTTCTCTGTATAAAATATGAACATTTTTGTCCACAAAGCGTGTCCCTTATCCTTGAGATGCAGGTGGACATTGAGTCATGTCCTGAAGAGCCCTCTGGTGTTGAGCCATGCGTCTGGTGACGTTGTTTAGTTCCTCTGATATTGAGGTTTGAACGTTCGTCACCACACTGAACTGCAGACACCACGCCGCTCAGTTTGGGTTTGGAGGTTCTGTCCTTGGGTTGGACCAGCCTCTGCCTGAGGGCCCTGTTGGATTTAAAATGTACCTGGTTGTTGTGTTGGAGAAAATCCTTTTGAGTTTCACATATTCTAGCAACATATGGGATGGCAATGTTTTTCAGAATAAAAGTCCAGTTGTTTTTGCTTTATTTATTTATTTTTGATAATTTTTCATTCAACCTTTATTTATAGACCTGGATGACTGTGAATCTTCACCAGCAATAGGTACTAATCAGACTGGTTCAGCTGCAACAAACTAATGTATAATAAAAATAAATAAGAAGAGCAAGTCTCTGTCTGTGAAGTAATTACCCTCCAGACACCAGTAAGGATTCCAGGCTACAACAACTTCAGCTGCACCAGTCTGTCCTGACCAATGACATGTGCACTTTTAGTTAGAGGTTGCATGTCCAACTTTGCCATGAGGGACCTCCTGCCGGGACTGACAGAGCAAGCAAAGAAACGGCAGGTTTCACAGAGAGATGCAAAAACAGACAGAAAGTTGAAATGGATGCTTTTTGTCTTTACTTCTTCAGGCCGGGGAAGCTCAGGGCTATTCTCCTGACACCGTGGAGTTGAAGGGTGGAAATCTGCTCATACTGGGGCAGAGAGACTCCTCCGCTCCAGCAAAGTGTCAGTGAAGTCTTGCAGAACTGGGACCAGCTCTGCTCCAAAGTAGTCTCATATCCAGACATACCAGTGACTGCCAGTTCCCAAGTGACACGCACATTTCTGAAGAGACAACGACGACGCAAAGCCTTGTAGTTTCTCATAAGAGGACTAGCTTCTGTTATAAAGCTGAATTTAACAGGGTGTCTAATTATTTAAACTAGAAAACTTATTTTTATGTAATGGGGACAGAATAATCATAAAGGGATAGTTCAAACCTTTTAAGTGAAGTTGATGGAATAGCTTTAATGCAACAGCAGTCTACTTTGGTCTTGGTTCCATTCTGATTAACCAATAGCTAATCAGTTTGGTTCAAATAAAACTAGATTTTTTTTTTTTTTAACTGAAGTTGCTCAACCAAGTTATCATTACTGTTTGTAACCTTTCCACAGAACTCCACGTCAAAGTTCTGAACTATTGCTTTAATAGTGTGGGAGTTCCAGATTCACCTCTTCTGAGGTCACTAGATGGCGCCAAACTACCACAAACAAGACCGATCTTCTTGATGAGACCCAGAGTATATAAGGCAGTGGTGCCCACACTGTCAGCATGCAGTCTACTTTTAAAATGACCAAGTCCAAGTGATCTACCTACTATAAAAATACAAAACATATACTTATTTATAAACATTAAGTATGCTTTTTATGTTCTTGTTTAGTATTTTTACCATGTTTTACATGGCACCTTGATTTATTGTTTTATAACACTATATTTTATTTTAATTTCATTTTACTGTATTTTATTGTTGTCTGTCTAAAACAGGTCTCTTGTAAATGAGTCCTCGTGACTCAGTGAGACTAACCTGGATAAATAAAGGTTGAATGAATAAGTCCTAGCTCGCTGTGGACGCAACATAAATGACAAACCCCAAAAAAGTTTAACAAAAAAAAAAAGTGACTTTATTTTTAATGTCCGCATACAAAATAATAAAAAGAAAATTAAAAAAAACAGCAATTTTTTTCACACAAACGAACAGAAAACAACAAGAATAACTTCATGTTTGAAAAATAACTTGAGAACAAAAGTGAAAATTCAGCCCTGGCAGCAGCTGCTTCAACTGTAGCTGAATTTCCTGATACCTAAGAGCTTTAATGGATGATAATGTTTCTGGTTTGTTTTTAAAGTCTCTGCACAACAAGTCAGCTTCTTCAATGAATAACATCTCTCTGTCTTGAAAAGACTTCTTGTGCTTAACAATTATTAAAATGACTCACCCAGGCTGATGCTTTGCTGCTGTGGTCAGCTGTCCAGATAACTGGGATTTTACGTCCTTCACCGTTTTCTTTCTCAGCTCACTTTTCAGAAGGAAGTCAGTGACATAGTATTTATGAATATAGTCAGAAAATGCCACTCCGGTGAAACGTACTTCGAATATGACAATGAAAAAAAAAGTACTCCCCCCGTTCCGTATGGAAATGGTAGATTTTTTTTTTGCTTACTTGGTCCAGCTCTGCAACTCATTTCACACACGTTCTTGACTTTAGATATAAACTGGAGGCTATCACGAGTCAACTCGTTTGTTTTTAGCGCGGTTGAATGCACATGCGTGGTGACCTATGTGTCAGAAAAGTTCGGTCTCAGATTGGCTAATCTGTACGTCAGTCAAGTGACGACTTGCATAGTGAAGATGGATTGATCGGCTGACGCCTTTAAAACAAATTAAGACATCTATTTTGCCATGCGATCTACTGATATTACCTTCATGATCTACCGGTAGATTGCGATGGCTGTATTGGGCACCCCTGATATAAGGCATCTGATGACTTCTTCAGTGCTGGAGCATTACCTTGCCAATGGTTTGTGCTTCTAGCCAGTTTACTTACCTTTTACTGTTTCCAGTGAACCTCCTGAGACCTTCCTGTTCTTGGACTCCTTGTGAAATTCTGGAAACCTCCTCAGCTGTCTTCCTTACCTGCACCAGTGACTACTTTCCACTCTGGACAACCGTTGCTCACACAGGATTATTGGAACCAGTGATTCTCCAACACCATTCACTGACCAGTAAGAATCAGAAGGTAATCTAA